TAAATAAATTCTAAACAAAAAGAAATAAAAAGGAAAAGAAGAGAATTAATGCCCAAGATCTCAATTTAGGATATAAAAGTGTCAAAACAATCATCAAATGGCACTACTAGGGTTCATAAAGTTAATCTAGAAATGACAACTCAAAACTGGGAATTAAACCCTATTATGCACAATTTGATGCCAAAAACCAAGTGTTTTAACATGTAAAATATGAGATAGATCAATTCCCCCACACTTGGATTTTGCTCTCCGAGCAAAACTCCCTCAAAACCTAGACAAGTAAACAACACAAAAATACAAGCTCTCAAGATGAATCCAATTTTCAAAGTCAATGCACTATCACAAGAACCAAACCAATGTTACAATCTTTAGAGAAAAACCTTAATACATCACAAGTAAACCATCTGCAAAAATGTAATCTCAAAGAGAAACCTCACCGGATTAGTGTTTCACTCAAGCACTCGGTGTATAAGGGTACAAATATCACTCAAGTTCCTTGGCAAGTCATCCTACCATAGGCTTGTAATCCCTCTATCTCACCACTACGAACATGCAAGGGTTCTCAAGAATCATATGGACTTTCAAAGGATGTAATGTGCTCAATGAAGGATATACTTAGATTTGCATGTGAAAGAGGTAGGGATTGGCTCAAGAAACTTGTCTTGGCCACAATGTAGGTATGTTCAATATACATGACTACTCAAAACTAAACCAAATAGATAGCATAATAGGGATCATGGATGGAATGAATAATTGGCCAAGAATGAGATGAAATGAGAATCTACAAATAAGAACAAGTGAATCAAATAGCAAACCCATTGAAACTTGCTTATTCAAACTCTTTCTTTTGCTTTTCTTTGATCCACTTTGATCTCTTTTTCTCAAATATATTTTTTTTCTTTTCTACAATCTTTTTTCTTCTTTCTTTTGTATCACTTCTTTCTTTCTTTTATTTTTTTTCTCTTGCTGTTCTTCTTAATTTCGTTTTTATTTTTTTTTTCAAGCATAGCTTCCAATATTTGGGTACAACTCAATAAATGTTCCTTAATCATAAGAATGGGATGGTATGGCCAATGTGAATGAATGAAATAGATCCCAATAGATGTTATCTACTAGTTAAATTAAAAATAGTCAATACACATTGAAACATACCAAATGAAAATATATGCAATCTATCCAAAATAGGTCAAGTGTTTAAAAATGACAAAAAAAAAGAAAGGCTCTATTTGGCTAAGTAAGAGATAATCAAGTAATCAAGGGTTAGCTAAAAGGCCTTGGGCACTTTAATGATGGCCATAATCACTTTCCCTACAACCAATGCACAAGTGTAGCCTCAAGTAAGAGAGAAAATAAGTTCTAGAGAATTAACAAAATCAGGGAACATAGAACTCTCAATGGTTGAAGGCGCCTTCCATATGGTTTATTCTTGCTTCTCTTAATCAATTACACTCAACCAAATGGTTTATTGCTTCAAAATAGATTTTAACTAAAGAAAACAACATCTCAAGAGTTCAAACTCAAATGCAAAAACTAAGATCATCTTTAAAACTCAATATTGCTCACAAAACACAAGTTTTTTTTTTTTTTCAAAAACACACTTTCCCCCACACTTAAATAATGCATTGTCCCTAATGTATGCAAAACACATAATGGGAAGAATTAAATCAAATCTGTACAGCATGTAAAAGTGTGGAAAAATGTCAATTTTTTTTTCCGAAAACACACTAAACAGCAAGGAAATAAAGAAAAACAAAGAGACAACAAAAACTAACATAACTAAGGAAAAGGAATTTCGTTTTTCTTTTTTTTTTAACCTAATGAATCAGGTTGCATCTCCCCCCACACTTGAACTCAAAATGACATTCACAAACACAAACACAAGCAAAGAATGGTGTACCACATGTGTGCATATGTGACAGCAAGCATATCCCAATTAGTGCTCCACTTGTGTGCTTTGTGAATCAATCAAATCAATCAAAAAGAAATAAGAAGGAGAGATACAACCTTTGAAGACTCATGGAGGATCTTTGAATCTATTTCAGCAAGCAATGTGGAAGATTCACCCTCATGAAACTTCTCGCATAAGTGGCCATAGTCAAAAATTTCCTCCACAATGTAAGAGCCTCCCATTTGGATTGAAGTTTGCCACCAATGAGCTTGAACCTTGTCTTGAACTTAGCACTTTATCTCCCACTTGAAAATGCTTCCTCAAAATACATTTATCATGAATGAATTTTGCTCTTTCCTTGTACAATTTAGAGCTCTCATATGCATCCAATCTCAACTCCTTCAATTCTTGAAGTTGGAGCTTCCTTGATGCAACTACACCCTCCTCACCAAATGCACAAGCCTTCACAGCCCAATAGGCTTTGTGCTAAATCTCCACCGGGAGGTGACATTGCTTACCATAGACTAATCTAAATGGAGACATCCCAATGGGTGTCTTGAATGCAGTCCGGTATGCCCAAAGAGCCTCCTCAAGTCTTGAGCTCCAATCCTTCCTATTCGGTCTCAGAATCTTTTAGAGGATAGACTTGATCTCCTTGTTCAAACACTCGGCCAACCCATTTGTTTGAGGATGATATGGGGTTGCCACCTTGTGTAGAACACCATATTTCTGAAGTAAAGAGGAGATAGTCTTGTTGTAAAAGTGTGTCCCTTGGTCTGTGATGATTGCTCTTGGGATGCCAAACCTGTAAAACACGAGACAAAAGAAACTTTGCCACAACTTTGGCATCATTAGTTCTAATAGGGATAGCCTCAACCCATCTAGAAACAAAATCAACACAGAGCAATATATATTCACAACCATTGGAAGAGGGAAAAGGACCCATGAAATCCATACCCCAAACATCAAAGATCTCACAAAATATAATGGGCACCTGTGGCATTTCATGTCTCTTTCCCAAACTCCCAAAATGTTGACATGCATGACATGCTTTGCAAAATTGATGTGAATCTTTAAAAAGAGATGGCCAATATAAACCACAATCTAAGACCTTCTGCCCGGTCCTCCTAACCCCAAAATGACCACCACATGCATAAGTATGACACATCCTCAACACATCATCAATCTCAACATCAGGAACACATCTCCTAATGACACCATCACTACACAATCTCCTGGTGAATCCCAAACATAGTATCTACTTTCCCTAGCATGTCTAGTAATCCCATTTGGAAACACATTATGCACCAACAAATTGACCAAATCAGAATACCAAACAACATCATGAGAAGAAATAGCACATAATGATTCGTCTGTAAACTCATCACAAGGGAAATCAAAAGAGGAATTCACCATAATGGAGTCATAAGGCAATCGACTCAAGTGATCCGCCACATGATTTGTTGCTCCACTCCTATCAATGTTCTCCAAATTGAACTCTTGAAGTAGAAGCATCCATCTAAGCAAACGTGGCTTGGTGTCCTTCTTCTTTAAAAGGTACTTCAAGGCCGCATGATCTGTAAAACAAACAACCTTGGAATGCAACAAGTAAGATCTAAACTTGTCAAGAGCAAACACTAATGCATACAATTCTTTTTTAGTTGTGGTGTAATTGCATTGTGCTTTGTCTAAAGTCCTAGATGCATATGCAATGACATAAGGTAGTATGTTTTCCCTTTGTCCCAACATAGCCCCAACAGCAAAATTAGAGGCATCACATGAAATCTCAAATGGGTTCAACCAATTAGGACTCCTCAAAATAGGAGGGGAAACAAGCTTAGCCTTCAAAGCATCAAATGCATCTCTACAACTTGGAGAGAACTCAAACTTGACATCTTTTTGAAGTAATTAAAACAAGGGATGTGCAATCTTTGAAAAATCTTTAATAAATCTTCTATAAAAACCCACATGGCCAAGGAAAGATCTCAAGTCTTTGACATTACTTGGATAGGACAGAGATGCAATCACTTCAATTTTGGCCCTATCCACCTCAATGCCACGGCTTGAAACCAAGTGCTCCAAGACAATCCCTTGCTCAACCATAAAATGGCACTTCTCAAAATTCAAAACCAAGTTCTTCTCCACACATCTAGCAAGGACTTTATCAAGATTTCTCAAGTAAGAAGAATAAGAATCCCCATGAATTGTGAAATCATCCATGAACACTTCCATGCAATTTTCAATAAAATCACTAAAAATACCAAACATGCATCTTTGGAAGGTCCCTGGAGCATTACACAATCCAAAAGGCATTCTTCTATATGCAAAGGTACCAAATGGGCAAGTGAAAGTGGTTTTATGTTGATCAACCGAATCAATGCAAATCTGAAAATAGCCACTATATCCATCAAGAAAGCAATAATGAGATTTCCCCCCTAATCTTTCTAACATTTGATCAATAAATGGGAGAGGGAAATGGTCTTTCTTGGTTGCCTCATTCAACCTCCTATAATCAATGCATACCCTCCAATATTTTGTACCTTAGTAGGAATCAATTCATCATGTTCATTCTTTACCACAGTAATTCCACTCTTCTTGGGCACAACTTGCACTGGAGACACCCATTCACTATCACTAATAGGATAGATTATACCTGCACTCAAGAGTTTGGTGACCTCCTTCTTTACCACATCAAGTATGAGAGGGTTTAACCTCCTTTGTGGCTGCCTTATTGCCTTGACAATTTCCTCCAACATGATCTTATGTGTGCAAGTTTGAGGGCTAATTCCAGGAATGTCTCCAAGTGTCCACCCAATAGCCTCAATGTTCTTTCTCACTACATCACACAACAAAGACTCTTCCATAGGGGTTAGTGAAGAAGAAACAATAATAGGCAGTTGATTACCATTTCTTAAGTAAGAATACTTAAGATTTGAAGGAAGTGGCTTCAACTCCAGATTGGGTGGCTCAATGATGCTTGGAGGGATCTTTTGCACTTCAATTTGCCTTGCTAGATCCATGTCTTCCTCTTTAAGTGGCATGCCCAAGCTTCTCACAGCTGCTGTGTGAAAAATTTCGTCCAGATTGACTTGCTTGGTTCCAACACTGTGCCTCACATCCAGATCTGATTGGCTTGCTCCAGAATTAATTCAGGTTCGGCCACATCTGATTCTAGACTTGCAGCACCAATTTGCACGCCCTTAAGATCATTAACAGCCCCAAAATCACTTTGTTCATGCTTTTCAATTGTCCCTAAACCTGAAACATCACAAATAGAACACTCCTCCAACCTTGGAAAATGATTAGGCACAAAAGGATCAAAGCTGTCAAAATTTTCAGAATTAAATTCAGTAGAAGAAATCAAATGATGTGATGAAATATGACATGTGGAAGATGAACTAGGGCCATCATTAGATGCAATTTCACTCTCATCACTTGATTCTATCACGAAATCAATAGAATTTCCAGAATTGATACTCAAATCATCAAACTCATCTAATGCAAGCAAATCACTCAAGGAAGCATATGTTTAGTCATGTGAGGAACTAGACAACACAAGTGCTTCAAATGGAGTGCAAGTAGATGAGTGAGGCATATCAAGTGTTCTGCCATTCAAATGCTCAAGTGAATGCAATTCATCTTGAGATTTCAAATTAGACAAAATTAACACTATGTTATTGCAATTCACACAAATAGAGTCATGAGTGCATGAACAAGTGAAGCTAGGCAAAGATGCAACATCATCCAAGCTAGGACGCATAGAAATTTCATCAATGATTCCATCAAGTGTATCATCAATGCAATCCACAAAATGAAGGCTATAATCAACATAAGAGTTTTTCAAGCTATCAAATATGTTAAATTCAATCTTTGTCCAAAAACTCCATGGTAAGTTTACCTTCCTTCATGTTCAATATAGTACTTGATGTCATCATAAAAGGTCTCCCAAGGATGAGTGTGCCTCAGCCTCCTTCTTGCATATCCAACACATAAAAATCTGCTGGAAAAACCAAGTCCTTGACCTTCACTAAGATGTCTTCCAAGAATCCCTTAGGCTTCCTAGTGCTCCAGTCGGCTAGTTGCAAGATAACACTACAATCTTGAAGACCACCAAGATTAAGGGAAGAATAAATGTGAGTGGGCATCACATTGATGGCTGCCCCTAGGTCAATCAAGGCTTCTTGAACAAACACATTCCCTATTTGACAAGGAATGGTACATGCCCCCGGATCTCTACACTTTAGGGGGAGTTGTGGCTTGAAGACAGCACTAATATTAGGACTCATTTGAACTGTAGCCAATGGTTTGAATCCCCTTTTATTAGTGCATAACTCCTTCAAAAACTTTGCACACTTAGGCATGCTTTTTATCATCTCAAGAAGTGGTATGTTCACTTCCACCTTCTTCAACATATCAAACACATCATGCCTATCTTCTTCTTGCCCCTTCTTAGCAAATCTAGTCAAGGCCTTAGGGAATGGCATATCCCTTGGAATAGGGTCCCTAATTTGCTATTCTTTTGGATGCTCTCTTCTTCCCAACACCTCTTTCTCCTTAGGCTTGCTTGAATCATTCTCATTTGCCTTAGAAGATGGATGAACCGTGGCTGTTCCAGCACTGTCTTGGCCTTGATTTGAGCTCAATTTCACCTCTTTTTCTTGGGCATTCAGGGCTGATCTTGCCCCATTTGCATCCTGAACTACAATCTCTTCAATAGAGTCATCCTCATCATCAATCACTTGGGGACTTAGAGAAGTAGGAGGCATGTTCTTGAGGCTATGTGAGGCACTTGGATGCATATTTAGCTTGCTGTCACAGCAAGTGGAATCACATGGATCAGCAAGAGAAAGTGGTCTTCCTTCACAAATTTGAGAATTCCTTGAAATAACCTCACTAGGCTTGCTACCACCATGGTTTGAGGCACTTGGAATGGCTTCAAGAACTCTTCCACTCCTCAACTCAATTGCACTAAGGTTCTTTGGATTGATGACAGGTTGAGTTGGGAGCTTTCCACTTCCTTGAGCTTGGCTAATGCTATTTGAATTCTCAAATTGTTGTACCACCAAATCAGTGCTTTGTTGTTTTGATTCAAGATTATCTAGCCTCTTAAGCATCATGCCCATTTTCGATTCTGCCCTAGACACATGAGAATCAAACTTTTGGCCTATAGAAAACATAGCATCACCCATCCTCTCAAGGTAGGAATACATTTGTTTATCACCTCCACCATCTTGAATAGGGATCACTTGAGAATTCTTGGCTTGCACAACCTCTTGATTACCCTTGTAGCTGAGTTAGGGTGTTGCCTCCAACTTGGGTTATATGTGCTCCCATAGTTAGCCTCAAAATTGTTCCTTGCCCCTTGATTATGTTGATAATTAGGGTCTTTGTTGTTGATACACAGCCCCAACATCTTGAGCATGCATGCAATTAGAGGTGATATGCATTGTGGAATTGCATATACCATAAATAGGAGCCACTAGAGCATTGGACATAGAAGCAATCTGAGCTTGTGGAGGATTGGAGATAGACATCTTGAGAAAATCCAATTGAGAGTAGATATCCTCCAATTGGGAATTAGCAATAGAAGATTGGCCCACTTGGTGAATACCCCTTGCATCTCTTGAGCTATATTGTTGGTTATTGTTTACAAGCTTTTCCAACAAGGTCCATGCATCATCCAGTGGAAGATCTAATAGCCATTTGCAGCAGCATCTATGGTCTCTCTATCATGAATTTGCAACCCCACATGGAAATAATCAATGAGGAACTCCTTGCCCACATTTAGTATGGACACTTTGCAAGCAACTCAAGAAACCTCATCCAATACTCATAAAGAGATTCTTGAGGGTGTTGTTGAATCCCCATGATTTGCTTCCTTAGTTGAGAATACTTGGTTGCTGGAAAATATTTTTCAAGGAAGCAATTTCGCATCTCCACCCAAGAATTGATGGTCCTTGTGACAAGAGTATTGAACCATGTGATTCTTTGTCCTCAAGAGTAAAATAGAAGACCTTGAGCATCAAATTTCAAGTTTGCTGTGGGAGGCATCATGGTTGAACAAACCCTCTCAAGTATTTGAAGATGCCTATTAGGATCCTCACCTGTAAGGCCATGGAATTTTGGCAAAACATTAATCAATGAAGGTTTGATTTCATACTCATTTTGTTCTTGTAAATTTAAAAACAAGCCACTAGGTCTAAATGTGTCAGTGGGTGCTACCATCTCTCTAATACTCCTCCTAGCAGGCATTTCATGTTCATTACCATGCAATCTATCAGCCATACTGTCCAAAATCACAGAATTATCAACTATGGTGTTTGGAAGAGAAGAAGATGCTAAGAACTCTAAGTATTGATCTCTAAATTCAATATAATTTTCACCAAGTTCTTTGCAAGTCCTACAAGACATATAAAGCTCAAAACACCATAGAAATAGCACTGGACCAAAGAAAAATCAAAAATTCGAAAGTAGGCAAAAATTCTGAAAACTGGCAGAATTGAAACGCACTAAGGCAGTATTTTTATAAAAATTTTTCGAACGTGAAAAAGACAAAATTAGCAAAAACTCAAAACTAAAAATTTAAAGATAAAACACTGAAATTAAATGAAGGAATTTTTATAAACAAAATTTTCAAACAGGGAAAGAGATATGCTCATCCAAAATTAGCCTTGTCTGCCTGGAGTGTCACTGGGAGTCAGCAGTGGACCCTTTGTGCTCGTTCAGTGCACAACTCTTGGTCCCGAATCAAATTGAGTTGAAATTTTTACCTAAAACTTTCAACACACAGAAGGTTATACAGTCCAATTGTTAAGAAAAAATTCGCCGTCAATTCTTTCAGTATGTTTTCGAATTAGGGTCTGCAGCACTGGAATTTCCAATGAACCCTGTTTCAGTCAAGCAAAAATTCAACCAACTTAATGGCCGAATTAGCAATTATGTTCAATAGAAAAAATGTTTTTAAGATAACCAGGAACACAATGAAAAAGAATCAGCTCAAAATGATATGTCTAGTGAAAATTATACTTGTCCGAATTTCGTGTAAAAATTTTTGAACAGAGCAAATTCTCACAGCTTGCTGGCAATTGAGCTAACCTTGAAAGATTTGGCTTGCATGTCTAGAATCAATACTATGGTGACTATATCCAGTAGCAAACAGACCAAAAAGTGATCAAATGCTCAGAAAACACAAATCAGCCACCACAACACAAATTCCAGAATTAAGCCAAAATGTAAAACAAATTAAAATAGCAATTGAAACCACAATTTGTATGGCTAGTTGCTCCCCGACAACGGCGCCAATTGATGAACCCTTTAGTCGTCTTGGATTATCAAATTTCACTAGAATGTAGAAGTGAGTATTCTAGGTCATTTCCCTAGAGAGCAAAGCATACAAATCATTGTTCAAATGCCACAAATTAATCTGAATTTTCAAGTGACTAAACTATATAATGCAACAATAAATGTTTGTAAAATTATGTTTTAGTTGGAATGAAATGAATGATGATTATGGTGAGCCCAAGTCAGATTTCCTAACATTAATCATTAATTTCCAGAATTATAACATCATAAACCATTTTGATTAAACTGAAATGAGACACTTAGAAACCTCTGAACTTAGAAATTAACTCAATGGACACCAATGAATCTAGGTCAAGTGAACTTAAAAATTAACACTATATTCAGCCTTGTTCTACACAAGTTTCAACCAAAACTAGTGGAAGAAAACACCTCAAGTCAAATTCATATAACCAATATGGATCTAACTCAAATCTACACAAGAACTTGAACAAGAATCAGCAAGAACATAAATTCCAGAACTGAAAATAGCATGAAAATCTAAATTCAACATTCATATTCTCATCAAATCTGAATTAGAATCACAAAGTCTTCAACCAAAACAGGTTCAAAATTCGAAATTCTCAATTAATCAAGACAAGAACATGAAATCAAGAAAATGAACAACATTTACAAATTTGGAAATCTCATAATGTCAAGTCATGTTTCTTGGAGCTCTAAATGATCAGCCTCTCATGCTCTTCCTCTTCACTTGAATCAGACCTTGAGAAGCCTCCATGAATGTATGAAGATGAAGATGAAATCTGGAGATAAATGTGTGCTGGACGAAATCTAGAGGAGAAGAAGAAAATGGACGAAAATTTAGAGGAGAATGAAGGCAGAATTCAAGCTGAATGAAGGAGAAAGGAGAAGAAATGATCTGGACAATGAGAGGATGAGAAGATGGAGTGATCTGGACAAGAAGATGAGAGAACTGAATCTGGAAAATTGGAGAGTGAATATGAACGAAAATTGAGAGAAAATATGGCTGAAGTGAGAGAGTGGGATCTGAATTATGAGGCTCTCATCTGAAAATTCAGCTTATGTATGTGTGGAAAATGTGAGTGGTGATAAAAACAAGGAAGGTCCAGATCTGAAATGAGCTGAAAATAATGGACGAAAATAAGCTAAAATGGGAATAAAAATGAGGTGGAAAAGGTGGTAAGGGACATGTGAACATGTGTGGGAAATGTGACTCCTCCTTAGGCTCCCAATCAGCTGCCACATGTCATCCCATTAGATCTGATCATGTCACACCTCCCATGCCCCTTCTTCACTTGATGATGTGTCCCTCAATGCTTTCCATGCTCCTTTGATTTTTTTTATTTAATTAATTCTCCCCAATTAAATCTGAATAATGGTGCTACATCATCCCTCAAATAATTCTGGAATTTGCGCCCAACAGCCCCTAAATTCTTCATCTTTATTTATTTGCTATCTCTTGAATTTCTCCAAGCATGTGGACTAGCCTTTGATCCTTGGTTTCAAAATTGCCCTCACAAAATCTGAAAATAAAAACATAAGACTAAATAAATTCTAAACAAAAAGAAATAAAAAGGAAAAGAAGAGAATTAATGCCCAAGATTTCAATTTAGGATATGAAAGTGTCAAAACAATCATCAAATAGCACTACTAGGGTTCATAAAGTCAATCTAGAAATGAGAACTCAAAACCGAGAATTAAACCCTATTATGCACAATTTGATGCTAAAAACCAAGTGTTTTAACATGTAAAATATGAGATAGATTAGTGCTGCGGTGCATGGTCCCTCACACCGTGACACATGACACAGAGAAGACAAGCCATAACACATGCCATAAACCATGGTGCACGTGTCATTTTCTGCACAAAATCTGTTTTTGAATTTTAAAACTCATTATTTTGGGTCCCAATTGATTTTCAAGCTTTCGCATTACTTTCAAAACTCTGTTATGAACTTATTAAATAATGTTTGAGATCTGAATTGTTAAAATTAGGATTACTTTGAAAGAATTTGAGAAATTCCATTTTTATAAAATTGTACAGTTTGGTAGTCCTTTAAGGGTTAAACCTTTAAGTGCCATGATTTAGTGTTAGAGGTGGTTTAGTAAGGGAGACCCTACACATCTTCCAACGTGCCATTCTCAACTCTTTCTAAAAATCACCA